TCATCTCTACATGCTCTTTATTAATTGGTTTGTTCAGTACTCTAGCAAAAACTCCGAACACCCAGATAATAAATCAACTACTAATAGAATTGATCAATTTTCTAGCAGAATTTAGTATTACATATACGTAAAATTTTGTATGTGATATAAAATTTATTTGTTTAAATGATATTAAAAAAAAAAAACATAATTTCATAAGTAATGATTTTTTATATGAGCCTTTCAAAATAATACACGTATAATATAATTTTTATTTCTTCTAATATGTATTTATCAATAAAAAAAGAATTATTTCATTTACATATATTCACATATAGTAAATATATTAAAAAATTAAAAAATATAATGTATATATTCATAATATAAGCATTAATATATTAAAATGTTTTATAAGTAACCTACTTCTCTTTTTTCTAAAAGTCCTATATAAAAGACAAAAAAAAAAAATGAATATAACTAGAAAAGACATAAAAGACATTGCAAAGAGTGCAGAATTATTCAAACGATTTTCATGATAAATATCCTTATTCTTTAATGATATCGCGTGTGGATTTTTTGAATTTGGCCCTATGTTTTTTATTGGCCTTATGCCTTTCATTGGCATTACGTTATATGGTGGCAACATGCTTTTATGTCGCATTATGTATTTACATGGCATTAGGTCTTTACATGGCATTATTTCATTTATTGGCCTCATGTCTTTTTTTGGCATTATAATTTTTGTTGGCATTATGTTATTTATTGGCCTTATGTTTTTTACAACACTCATTTCTTCATATTCACATGGAACAAACTCATTTGTAGCCTGGATATCGCATATATATGGAGAACATGAAGAATTTAAATTTTCTCCTAAGCAATTATTGGGAACATATAAATATTTGTTATTTAAATCATAATATCGATCATCTAAGTAAATTAAACGTCCGCCGTAATTTGCATCGGTACATTCCATATTATCATTATTAATTTTTTTACATAAGATATTCTTTTTATTATAATATGATATGTATTCTGTTTTTATATGATGGTAGGGATGTCGTTTAAATAATAACTTATCATATTTTGATTTAATAATTTTATGATTGGGGTTTTTTAAACTACTTATATTTTTTTTATTATTTTCTTCATTAATAATGTCATAAGAGTCAAATTTAAGAGTTCTTCCTAAATATTCCATATTAACGGCTTCGCATAATGTTATCTTTTGTTCTGTAGTCCTAAGGCGGCATAAATATGTTTTTTCTGGATATTCATTATTATATGGATTATATTCATACAGAAACAAAATACCATCTTCATCATTATTTGAAAGAATAGTCATCCTAGATTTACTATTTGGTGGATAATATTCGTATGTAAATACATTTCTTGAAGGATCATTTAAATCACTATTTAAATGTTTCTGTATATAAACTCCTAGTGGATGAATACTACAATATGTTTTTTCAAATTTATTTAAACTTATTTCACATATATTCATAATACATTCGCTGAAATCTCCTTCTGATTTTTTACATCCTTCATTATATAAAAATGCCATTTTTTAAATTAATATAAGGTATATATATTTCTTTTTTTTTTTATCAAAAAAAAAAAAAAGAAAAAATAAAAATAAGAGAACACGTTTATAAAATTAAAATGAAATAAAAAAAAAAAATAGGAAAACTAAGGAAACAAAAAGAATAAATATTTTAATTAATTATTAAAGTCTATGTTTTGTTTTATTATGTTTACACATAATTTATTATCTTTTAAAAAAAGTAGAAGAAATATATTATTATTATTATTAGAATATGAAAATAAACAAAATAATGTATATATATAAAAATATATATGAACATATAATAACTTTTTTTTTTTTAAAAAAAAAAAAAAACCAACACAATATTAAAAAATAATCAAAAGTTTTCATGAAGATTTATTTATAAAAAAAGCATTAAAAAAATATATAAAATAATAATAAAAAAAACAGCTTTGTATGATGACGGAAATAAAAGTTCAAAGTTATTTAAAACATATATGAAAATTACTTTTTTTTTTTTTTTTTTCCCAAATTTTTTTAATTAAAAAAAACAAATACATAGGGAAAAAAGAAAAAAAAAAAAAAAAAAAAAAAAAAAGAAGGGTTTCTTGTCAACTGTGATTGTACAAGAGTTAGCCGCTCCTAAGAGGTAGCTGAAAAGTGTTTAAAAGTGAAAGGACATGTACGGGGGAAATGTATATAAGCCTTCTTGTCTCAAAAGGGGAACAGGTTGATATTCCTGTGCCAACAAAAATAAGAGTGAAATAAAGATGGTAACATATATACAAATGAACTCCTTCACGTAGGCCTTACGCTCGGGGTGCGTTTTCTTTGCACTTTACCTTTATAACAAACCTTGGAATCAATTTACTTGGAGAAAAGGTTTGTTGAACTCAATTGAAAAAAATATTGTATAAGAAAATTTTTTTTGTTATACTATTATTTTTTTTTGTATTGTAGCAATAATAATTCGATTTTTGAATTATCCGAAGTAGTAAGGACTATCCTTGAAAAAAGGGGGGAACAGCAGATAATAGGGAAGGTAATATGTATTTATTATCTTTAGCCCTTTATTTGTATACTCTTGTTTTTTATATGAGCGTACCAACAACCGCATCAGGTCTCCAAGGTTAACAGCCTCTGGTTAAATAGAAAAAAGTAAGTAAGGGAAGTCGGCAAAATAGATCCGTAACTTCGGGATAAGGATTGGCTCTGAGGACATTAGAAAAAAGAAGAAAATAAAAAGAAAGAGAAGAGAATTATAAAGGTACTTAGAATTATTGGATTTTTTTTTGAGAAATGTTTCTTTCGAAAAAGATAAAGATAAAAAAAAAAAATAAAAAAAAAAGATTTAATTTGATTTTTTTTTTTTTTTGAGAGAAGAGAAAAAAATCAGAGAGAGAGATTTTTTTTTAAGAAGATAATGATATTTTTGTAAAGTGTTTAATTTGCATAATATTCATATTTTGAATTTATAAGAGAAAATTTTATACATATGAAGATAAAATTTTCATGTAATTAATATGCATATAATTTATTTGCATTTTTAATAAGTATTTGTGTTTTGTTAATTCGATAGCAATATAAAATAATTGCTGAGTATAACTCGTAATAAATAAACTAATAATTATAATCAATTAATAGTTAATGTTAAATAAGTGTTTAAATTTTTAATAAAATAAGGATTTATTTATTAAAGTAAATAAATACTTATTGAAGCAAAAGAATGCTGAACGAAGTAGTTTATGATTAAAGATCATTCGTTCAAAGCATATAAGAATATACATAAGTATAAGAAAATCGTAGAGTCATCTCTACATGCTCTTTATTAATTGGTTTGTTTAATACTCTAGCAAAGTCTCCGAACACCCAGTTAATAAATCAGGTATCTAATAAAAAATGTATTTTTCTTCTATTTATTTTAACTATTTGTTTGATGTTTATACAAAATCCTATATTACTTTCATTTCTTTGTGATTTATTAATAGATGATTAACTTCTCATTTCTTGATATCTTCTTTTCTCTCCGTGTTTTTCTGTAATTTTTCATTTTTATATACATTATTAATTCTATTTCTTTTTCTTACAACTTCTTCATTTCTCTCCTTTGGTTTATTATCATAATATTTTTCTTTTGCTTTTTCATTCTGTTTTTCAATGTGTTCTTGTTTCCCATTGATTTATTAATTGGTTGTTAAGTTACTTTTCTAGAGTATTATATATATAGATTAATAAAGGGCATGGAAAGTTACTTCTATTAATTTAATTAATATGTATATAATTTTAAATTCTATAAAACAAGAAAAATGTATTTATATAGTCTACTTTGCTGAGTATTCTTTATTTTTAAGAGGAACTTATTCGCTTTAATAAAAATACCTATTTTTATTAAAAATTTAAATCCTCATTGAATATTGATTATTTTAATGAAATATATTTTTACTTATAATGTTATGAATAATGTTTAGCAACTCAAATACTAGGTTTTCAAGTTAACAGACATAATGAAATACAAATTAAATTGCAATAACATTACAAACATGAAAATTTTATTATTGCATATATAAAATTTTAACTTAAAAATGAAAAAATAAAAACTCACAACAAAAGAAAACTATTTACTCCATAAATTATTTTTAGTATTTTCCATACAACTATTTATTGTTTTTCCTCAAAAAAGTTAATAATCTCTTTTATTAACTTCCTATTTGATTTATTAACTGGGTGTTTGGTGACTTTACTAAAGTACTGAGCAAACAAATTAATAAAGGGTATGTAGAGTTGCCTTGACGGTTTTGATGTATTTGTATATATTTTTAAATGCTTTGAACGAGTGATTCTTAATTATGTGATCTACTTCATTCAGCATTCTTTAATTTCAATAGGCATTTATTTACTTTAATAAAAATCTTTGATTTTATTAAAAATTTATATCTTTATTGAATATTGATTATTAATTAAATTCATATTACTAGTTTCTTTGTTATGAGTTATGTTCATCAATTAAAATATATTTCTGTTGAATTAACAAAAATAAACAATTAGTGAAAATACAAATTAATTATATAAATATTAATTACGTGAAAATTTTATTATTATATATATAAAATTTTCTCTTACAAAATTAATTTAATTTCGCTTCATTAAAAAAAAAATCTTTTTTTTTTTTGTGTGAATGACCAACTATGTATTCTTCATATAATTAGTCGTTTTATTTTCCAAAAAGGTTAATAAAGCCTTTTTTTTTTTTTTAAAAATTTTTTTTTTTTTTTTTTTTTTTTTTTTTTTTTGTAAATAAAAATAGAAAAAAAATTAATTTTTTAAACCTTGTTTGCATCATTTTTTTTTTTTTTTAAGCATCACATAAATCCGTTTAGTACATTATATTTTTGACATCTTTTTTCTTTACTAGTTAGTGTACATATCCTATTTCTTTTTACACCTTTTTATTTTGATTCTTTTTTACATATATACAAATACAAAAAAAAAAAAATTTTGTGATATTACTAAATATTTATGTATACATATATTTATACATACAAATACATGTAAATAAGATATATATATATAATATTTTTTGAAAAAAAAAAAAGAAAAGAATATTTATATATTTATACTATAAAAATAAGTAGTGGAATATTTGTTTAGATGTTTGATTCATATGAAATTTTAAATTATCTTCAAAAATTTTTTCTTTTATTTGCCTATTATTTTTATAAGATTTTTGTCTTTTACAAAATTGATTAAAATTCATTTAAATTTTTTTTTTTTTTGTTTTTTTTTTTTTTTATTAAATTTTATAACGTTGTCTAAATCAATTTGCATATTTTTAAAATCTAATAAAGAATAAAAAAAAAAAAAAAAAAAAAAACCATTTGTAAATCTATTCAGTGAAATCTTTCTTTTTTTTTTTTTTTTTTTTTTTTTTTTTTGCTTGTTTTAATTTAAAATTTTTTTTTTTTTTTTTTTAATTCATTGCATGCTTAACACCCACATTTTTTTTTTCTATATCACTGAGCGACTTGAAATTTTTTAATCTTAAAAAATGAAAATAAAAAATTAAAATTTTATATTGTAAATTTTGAAGATTATTCATATACAATTTTATAAGTCTATTTAAAAAAAATAAACTTTTATATAATTTTTATTTTATTTATATTTTATTTTTTAACTATATTTGTAATTATTTTATATTAATATATTTAGTTTTTTACATAAAAGCAGTTTTTCCAACTAACAATATGTGAAATATAATATTATCTTACATTAATACATATTGCTTCATTGTATNTAAAAAAATCACATTTATTTTTCATGAATTACAAATATATCCTCATTATATTCTATGGAAATTTTTATTTATTTGTGAAAAATATATTTTTTTTATATTTGAAGGCAGTGAATTTGAATTGTTAATGATTACTCATAACATTATAAATAAAATATATGTAATCAAATTAAATAATGAAGATTTAAGTTTTTAATGAAAATATAGGACTTTTATTAAAGTAAGTAGATTCTTCTGGAAAAAAATAAATACTCAAATAGTTAGACAAAACAAATACAATTTACTGGTTTACAGTATTAAAAAAAAATTTAAGCTAATTATATTAGTATAGATAAATCTGCATGCTCTTTATTAATCTGTTTGTTCAACACTCTAAATAAAAAAATAAGCAGTTAGTAAATTACTAACATACATATATTATATATTTTAATTTATTTGTGTAAGAAAAAAGAAAGTATATATATAATTAAAATAAAGAACAATAAAAGCCAACGTATATATTGAAGAATATTCTACAACAAAAAAAATAATAATGATAAATATAATATTTTGTTTAAATATAAAAATATAAATATATAGATATAAATGTGACACAACTATGAAGGATTTTCATATTAATGGAATGCATGCATTCATTATACAAAGTATTACATAATACATATATCTCAAGATATATAAAATATATTTCTGTTGAATTAACAAAAATAAACAATTAGTGAAAATACAAATT